TCTGCTGCAAAACCCATCCATTCTCTTACAGGTTTCACTGCAAAACCCATTCATTCTCTTACAGGTTTCACTGCAAAACCTATCCATTCTCTCACATAATCTATTCCAACTTTATCTCCACTTCAGCTCAGGCCTGAAAAACCGTACGCTCCACGGTAAAGTTGCTCATCTCTCGTCAATACATTCACGATTGCGATAAAGTTTGATAGTTCAGTCAAGTTCGTGTCGGGACGAGTATCTTCCTTCGCACTTACCTTTATGTCCGTGTTAGACATGCATATCAGGATGAAAATGTAGTAGTAGATGAATACTTTAAAAGTCGGTAGTAACTGATTAATCTAAATCGGCCGGAATTGCAGCTACCTCCCGTTTCTTGCCGTCCTTGCTCATGCCAACTCATTCTCGAGTTTTCTGCGGATCTAAGACAGTGCATTGGCAGGTTTGGTAATGACAAATCACGGAGAACCACCTGCTGTAAAGTTTTGCCAAAGTTCCCCTCGTCACAACTACCATCTGGGACGCCAACCCCATATAGACCTTCCCCTGAATCCAGGAAAGCAGTGTGGGAAGTATAGTGACCGTAGCTATTACAGGAACTGAGTGCATAGTGAATAAACAAACATTCTTCTTTATACATAGATTCACACTCACCGACACCTTTATCCTCGGATGCATATCGAATTATTACATTCAGAGGATGGAATTATCAATCGAACGATAGAAGATGATCGAACGCACGAAATCACCGTTTTATTGATGTATATGTGAATATATATACGATGACAAACACAAGCTTTTATAGATGCGATACAACAAAGAAGAAGCAGAAAGAGACCAAGCTATTCAGAATATGAACGAAACAAATACTGTTATCAACATTGAGTTTTGAAGAGATTAATTATTCAACGAGGTGAAATTACAAATTAAAATAAGATTATTGATGATATATCGAGCTGTAACATACGCTAGTTATGATTCGAAGTAAAAATTAATATCGTAGAGCACTTGTCTCAGGACATTCAGTAGCTTCCATCTCTAATGAATCCACAGGTTGGATAACGTTTCTTCGTGTCTTTCGATATTTATATACTTCATCTATGATTCGAATTATTGTAGGGCAAATCCATTTTAAAATGATCGTCAAACCACCTTGTAGACTAAGTAGAAGTGTTATTGTATGGAATACATTGAAATTTTCGGTAAATGTATATGAACACAACAAAGGTGAGCATTGTTTGAAATAAAATGAATAATTCGTCATTGTTGTTGTCCATTCTTCAATGAATAGATTATGAACAAGTTCAGTAATTGAAGTATTAACAGCGAATCGACTAGTTATTGAAGAAAGATGAGTGACATTGCTCGTATAGTTAGTATATTCTTCAATTAGATCAATACATGATTGATTATAGAAACATTCAAGAGTGGAAACGAGCAATGATTCACTTGGTGTACAGCCTATTTTCAAACCTTCAATTGAAATAGTTTCAAAAGAATTTGTTTTGATAAATCTCGCTTGACTTGTACAATTTGAATATAGCCCACAGGAACATTCATCGTCATAAAATACGGCTTCAGTAGGTGCATATATAAAGACGTGTCTTTCCCAGGGAGTGATATATTTGAAATTCGTTCCATAGGTGGATATAAACGCATTTCCATCATTAACACTGCGAATTAAAGAGAAAATACGAGCGAATACTGTAGGAGCATTCAATCTGCTTTCGTTGATTAATAAATTTAAACGTTCATAGAAATTTTTTTCTGATAAAAGATCAGCAGTAATGAATGAAGAAGATAAAAATTGTTTTATAGAATTGTTCACTGATTCAATGGAAAGTTGACATAATCCTTGAAGAAATTGTAAATGAGCAGAGAGAAAACGACGATAATCGTTCGGTGCATATATAGAAAGATCAGGAACCAAATCAGCTGTAAGATTAATTCTCCATTGATCCGAAACAAATGGACTCAAACAGATCTAGAATTAATGAAAATGAAATAGAAAAAGAAAGAAAATTCTTTTCTTACTTCATGAAATACTGCTTCAATATTAACAAATGAATTAAATGTTGATGCAATTATTGAGCAGGAACATGACAGTTTATCTGCATGGTCATGTTTGAGTTGATTGTAAAGTTCGAAAGATGGTCTATTAAATGTGTTTGTCAAAGTTGGAACTTGAACGATATTATATATGGCAAGTAGAGCAACACTAGATATGAGCATTATGATGTAGAGACGAGTAGTCCATTGACCAAGACGTTTAGCTGTCATTCGATCAACATTACTACCAAAATCTTGTACAGAAAATATATTTAGATTAAGCATGGTCTTGTACAATAGACTGGCCGCATTTCGTATGATTGTCTTCAGTCGGTCACATAAGTTCCGATAAACTATATAGAAAGATAAATGTAATATTCTGTTGCATCAATAAATAAATGTAAGGCTTAGATGATTATAGTAGTGTTAAGTAAGAAAGTTGAATTCAAGTTTCAAGTATTACATATACGAAATTTCAATGAACAAACAAGTTAGTAATTCCTTTTTCTATGAGATAGGCATGATTCATACTTTTGTAGAACCAAATCGCGTTCATTTATCTTATATATTCAAACTGTTTTCAATTGACGAAAAATCTTATGATGTAGATGTAAAAATCAAGTTTTATCAATGAAGTTTTTAGGAAAATATGATCTAACCAAAAACTAAAATATAACAATAAGAATACGACTACTGCTAAACTGATTAAAAAAAAATTTTTTCATTCTCATCTTTGATTATCAATCAGTAAGTATTATCACAGAGTGCGAGAAAATTATACATTACCACGTTGTTGCTCTTCTTGTCGATTTTTATGTCTTTTGATAATTATAGATAATAATTTAAAAATAGTTTTGACGAGAAGAGGTGTGATTAATTTTAATGCAACTGTAAAACCAGCAATCATAGATATCATTTTTATTGTCAGGGTTAAAATAGTTTCTTTACGAATATTTTGAGAATAAGTACAATATTTCGGTGCACATAGTTTATAAAATTTTTCGTATGTAGAAATTGGATTCCATTGTTCAATCATCAACTTTTTAAGTATTATTCCAACTGAAGTGTTTGAAGTATATTGGCTCGATGTCGAATCATGAACGAGAGGACGAACATCAGTCCATAATGAAGTATTTTTATTAGTTAAATATCCTTCTTTTACGTAATTCATTAGAATTGAAAAACAGTCAACATCTGTGTATAAACATTCGAGTGTTGAGCGTAAAAGAGAATCAATAGCATAACAGCTGATGATCGAGCCTGGCACAACGTAAGCGAGATAAAATTCACCTGACGTTTCTTTCTTTTGAATAATGACGCTCGGTGTTTGACAATCAGGATTAGTCCCACAAATACAAGTGATCGAATTAAAATACATATTGCGAATTTCAGTCAAATGTAATGTCAGCTGATAAGAAAAAAAGATATATATATATGTTTTTATTTAGTTAATCGAGGGTGAGTGAGAGAGTGCGGATGTATATGGGTGTGGCTGTGTACATAACAAAAACAATACCCATATCCTCACCCATACCTTCAAGATCTTATATCGACTCATTCTTTTTCATAATTGACGCATTTTGTTTAGAGCAATCTCTTGTTTTTTTCACAATTCAAGAAAGTATAAGGAATATTATTTTCAAAGATGTAGGAAGTTACAGATATGTTTTCTCTCAAAATATGAAAAAGTAGAAGACAACTGCTTTCAAAAATCTAAGTAAGCTATGTAATGAAGTTTGTCGAAAATGGAAAATATGCTTCTTCTCTCCTCTGATAAGCTTGTCCTGGCCATGAACGAACTGTTACTTATAAATTCGAAAATATCTCGTATAATATCACTAGTACTGAGAATGAGAAATACTCTTATATTTTCGAGAAAGACTTACATGCGATGAATACTTATTGGTAGTTACATTTAGTGTCACATTTGCACGTATATTCGAATTCACTATATATTGTACATCTTTAATAAGTGCAGTAGAAGGTTGATCGACTTGAAGAAGGAGACGCTCTGTTTCTACAAGAACACTAAAATAGCTGGTTGTCGACTGGAGCAATTGAGTGAATGTTCGATTGAAATATGCATTGAAATTATCCTCACTGAGTAAATTTGATACTGCAAAGGATTGATAGATAAAACGACGAATAGCATCGTCGATTGTTCTATTAGCCAACTGGCAAAGATTCGACAATAATTGAAATTGTGAACTGGCGCGATAACGCCAATCTGTTACCTAATGGAAAATTTCATAATTATATATCTCGACTAGGATTCAAGATATTGAAAAGTAAACAGAATTTGAAAATGTAGACACAAGATACTCTAGTTATCGTGTTCCGCGACCTATAAGTAGATCTGTGATACAGACATATACAATGTTCTTAGCCCTAGTACTATCGGGCTAGATCGTATTTGGTCCGTACTCAAAATTCAGAATTGTGTTGTTTTGAAGTCGCTAGCATCTCTTATGAATTGATCTATTTACTTTGTCTACCATGACAAGTCTCTAATATGATATCATGATCTTACTAGCCAATAAATATAAAACAAGAAGAAGAAGCAAGTAAGACATCTTCAATCCATAATTAGATGAATCATCTACCATCCCAGCTAGGTTGCTAAACATCACCTCAAATACATGTTTTTTTAATTTTTGTTGCATACTGAATACTTGTAATGATATAGAAAATAAATGAATACCTTTTTAAATTCAACAACATAGATCAATTCATCAGAAATACTTATAATGGCTTCAAAACACCACGAAATAATAAAATATTTCTAATAAATTTTCAAATTTTTGAGCATGAGTCAAAAATGACCTACGCCAGTAATACTAGAGTTATGAGAAAAGAATAATCATATGATAAATTATATTGCCAATACGTAGAAATAGATTATATAGGATTGTTTAAAAAAACATAATCTTCTTCCAAGAATATTTATCCATGATGTCAATTTCTAGTAACAATTCAACGAATTCAGAGCTATCATTAAATAAATTTCACTAATTGATTCTGATCATATAAATTTCAGTTGAAATCTAATAACAACTCTTAAAACATAAATTTTCAAGATCTGTTCACATCTTTATATGAAATATTTCTTTAGAGATTTTTACTTACAGAATTGATACTTAAAAAAGTTTTAGAAAATGTGCTATTTTTTAATACAGAAATCCAACGATCTGAAACAAAATCACTTGAACACACTTGATGTAAAGATGGAGATAATGAGATAAATGTATGATAAGGTATTAAAGTTGTAGAACAAGGACATATTAGTGTATTCGAATTTAATCTTTCCAAATTGTTGTAGTCGATAAGCGATGGATTCCATACTTTTACTGTATCTAATTTAGTACTTAGCCAAGTAATAAGAAGAAAAGTAAAAAATGAACCTAATAATAAAGAGAGATAAATAAATATATTAATATTTTGAGGATGTGTATAGATGTCAACTTGGAAGAACTAAACTATGTTATGTACTATCTGCACGCTTCCAAACTGGATTTGATGTATGCTCGTGCATCAATAGTCACACTCTCACTTATATCGTCGTTACGAGCAGTTATACTTTACAGATGATATATAAATAAATCATCACTTCTAGCTTGTAATTACTTTTTTTTGCTATTAACAACATTTGAGATATATGAAATAAAAGTAATCATACCGAGTAATAGGATTATATAGACACGCGTGAAAATCTTCTGTTGTTTGATATTGTTTTCTGTTCGTTCTTCAACTTTCTTAAACATGTTTAGTCGTTTAATCAACTGAACGAATTTACGTATGTTTGCATTTTGTCGTACTAAAAATTATTTAAGATAAGATATTTCTTGTTATATTTATAATACAAAGAAATCAATACTTGTAATTCTTCGATCTTGTTTCAGTTTCCAAGAAATTTTGATCAAAAATGGTGTAATCAAACGAAGTATGATAATCAGACCACTATAGAGACTGATAAAAAGATTGATCGTATAGGACAAATTGCTTTGATCTATCTTTGTATATGTACAGAATGAGGGAGTACAATCACTGAAATAATTTGAATAATTTATTTGTGTTGACTGTTCTTCAATGAAAAGATTAATAAAATGATCATGTACAGAAACATGTTGCTGTTTTGATATGAGAACAGATGCACTCCAGTTGACGTTCATCTAGACAAAAGAAATATATAAAAAAATCATTGAATTATACTATACACACTTCATTCAGAGATGGAATATAACGGATCAATAACTCAATGCATTTAATATCATAGAAACAATCGAGTGTGTTTTGTAAAATACCTTCAAAAGGTGTACATCCAGCAAAGAATCCTTTAACAGGAGTGGGACTTGGTACAGCTGGCTTGCAGGTTATATCTGCCATAGGTGTACCATCATCTGACGCTCGAAGGAATCCACCTTGAATAATTGGATTTTCAAAACCGCACATTTCTCTTTTTACATTTCCAATATCATTACTATAACGTTGACAATATGTTATTTGGGCTCCAAATATATCAACCCTGAATTTAACACCAGAAACCAAAACCATTGTATTTGTATTAAGACTTGATATTAAAGTATTTCCTTGATTTGTTGCTCTGAGATAGTTTAAATGTGAAATCATTTGATTAATTGAAGTGTTGTGAAAGAATTGAACAGTGGCATTCACTGTTGAGTTAACTTGTGCTTCAGGCAAAAGAGAAATAGTGATAAACTCATTATTTTTCAGTTCATTTTGATTTTGTAAAACTGTCATTTGAGAGAGTAAACAGAGACTAGAAAGAAGTTTGAACTAAATAGAAAGAAGCAAAGTCATAATAAGCATTATTCTAAATAAAATAGAAGGTATATCATTTTCATAAAATAATAAAAATTTGCTCATTTTTATGTCATCTTAATCGCTTCATACCTTGACGAATTTTTGGAGTCTTATGAGCTAAATTAATATTTCAATAAAACTAACGGTGATAAGAAACAATCAAGAGTTTTTTAACGAAGATAAGCGTTTCGAAAAGTTTTTCAACGTTATCGGCTCAAGATAGAAAATGTAAAACTCAAATATTCGACATACATAAAGTATATCTTAAACAAACCATATTTATGGATTTTTGAATTCAGTTTCTCTTTCTCTTCCCCTTCTCTCATCGAGTTGTTTGCGAGAATGTAATTATTCACCTCAAAAAGATCTCGCTCGATCGTCAAAAGCAGATTGGAAGATTTAGCCTAAGCCAATATTAGAACGTACTTTTGACTACGATATTCATGGTAATCTACTCATAAACGATTTCTTTTCTACTTTGTTGCCAGGCAATCTTACACTTCAGGAGTTGTTTTCTCCTCTTTGGTCGCCAAGGACAGCCATATTTTTACGACTATTGCTCTTCTCTTCTGGTACCTGCAAGAATTTACGTATTGATGCTAGATTCTGACTACTAAGTTTCTATTAGATATGAGATCTGTGAGACGTGAGAGTTCTAATATCCTCGATTTTCAACTTTTATTCAGAATTTTATGTTCAAAACATGTATATGGACTTTACAAAAGACTATTTGAACTTACGAGAGAACATATTTAGGTGTGTAAGTTCTTTAGACTCCATCTTTTGGTGATATGTAGACCTCGATGAGGTATTAAAAAAAGTCCAAAAGGATACATGCGCTCAGGCCTTTCCTCCAGGGTTATAGCTATTTTAGTAGAACTTTAGCCTATGGCTCGGTATGCACTAATAAATTGAACGATATTATTTCAAGCTGAGATTTGGCCCATAGACAGATATACTTGTGACTAAAATGCCCTAAAAATTTCAGCTCATAAGAATGTTTCGCTCATGAGACATTAAATTCCGAAAATTAACTAATATACTATGAAAGATGTGTGAATCTCATGTTTTTGGGAATTTAATATTTCGTGAAAGAAACATTCTTTTGAGCTGAGATTTTCAGGGCATCCTAGTCACAAGTATACCTGTTTGTCGGCTGGGTGTGAATGTGTGCGTGGGTGTGGGTGTGAGTGTACGTGTGGGTTAATGTGGGTATGGGTCGGTGTGGATGTAGGTGTCACCCTTGATTAACCTTTCACAAGAGATTAGACTTATTTTATTTTATTTGTGCTTAACTTTCTCGTGCTCATCGTTCCGGTATCTCCCACACCGACACCCTCGAGGGACTAAAAGGAGTGAAAAGGTCTATAACAAACCAAGTAATAAAACGTTAAATATCATTTAAGTAAAAGTAGAATTTTGTGTAGAAAAATAAAAAGGCTATATAGAAAGTAAAACAGAATAAATTTTATTTCTCGTGGACCTATCAGTTAAGCTTAGTTTAAATAAAGAATAAGATTTTTTGAAGAATATTGTCTTACTTGAGAACTAGCCGTTGTTCGAAAATCAAGTGAAAAATATTTGGTTGCATTTGATAGGTAAAGTGCTTCAATCCATCGTTGGCTAACGAAAATACTCGAACAAACAGGATGAAATGTAAATTTTTGTGAAACGAAATTTTTATAGGGCACCATAGTTGTTGAACATGGGCATGAAAGAGTTTCATTATATTCCAGATAAAGTTCATTGAAGATATTAAGAGTGATAGGGGAAATAGTTATCATTCGAGCTTGTGGATTCCTCAAACCAACATACAAAAGAACATAGAAGGACACTAAAATGATATAAAGAACATTTCGAATTCTTGAAATCCATTAAGTCGTTTCTAGGGATGTACTGACCCCGAACCTCTCGGGCTCGGCCAGGGCTTGGGATCATAAGCGGCGCAGCTTCAGTTTTTTAGGGGACGCAATAAACTTTTAGATAAGATTGCATAGTGTACACCCCTCCACGTACTGATGGATTTTGCACACGGGTGGCGCAATTTCAAATTTTCAGGGGATGCAATTGCTGGCCCATTGCTTGCTGGTGCGCCGCCCATGCCTGGGATCGCTTAGGCTTGGCTTGGTCAGGGCTCGCGGTCGGTTAGGCTAGGTCTCTGTTCGACTCGAGGTCGGCCAGGCTCGGTCTCTGTTAGGCTCGAGGTCGTCCAGGCTCGGTCTTTGTTAAGCTCGAGGTGGATCAGGCTCGGGCTTCGTTAGGCTCGGGGTCGACCAGGCTCGGGCTCTGTTAGGATCGGGTGTCAGAATGGGTGTGGGTGTGGGTGTAGGTGTGGAAGTGGATAGGTGTGGGTGAGAGTGAAAAGGATAGTACCCGCACTTAACACACTCATACTCTTATTCTCACCCACACCCACACCCATCCTCAAACCCGAGCCTTGGCCGAGCCTCTCGGGCTCGGTATATCTCTAGTCGCTTCTCTTTGGATTGCAACTTAGAAAATCTCATTTAGAATTCTTTTAAAATTAATCTTTTTTTTTCGTATACATTTAATTGATGATATATTATTAAGCGTAACTCGAGGATGTAGATATGAGTAATATATCAATCTCTTACTCACATTCACATTTACCCTTAAATATATGACAATCAAGACTCATTCAGACATATGAAACAATAAAAGAGTATAGATGGATATTATTTTCATCCTTTCTCTCTTATTCTCTCAATAAGTATTTTCATCATTTTACTTTCAGTTTTCGAATGATGTGGAATAACTACACCGATCTCTATGTGTCGAACAGGCCTTTAGTATTCTTACGCAAATAAAATCACACCTATAGAAACGTGCACTAGCTTTTCAGTTCTGTCATGTCGCTGATCACTCTGTGAAAGAAGAAATATTTAATAGAACTAATCTTCATATCCGTTTAATCACTACTTTTTGTCAATAATTTCACGTCTAAAAATGAAAAATTTATGCTTTACTTGCCTATAAGTAAAATACTATATAGCCATGTTGTTTGCTTTTGTTGTTTAAGTATTATTGGTGGGTCTTCTGGCTCATCATCATTGTCATCGTATTCGTTTTCTTCTAACATAAAAAGATTGTAGTTGCATAATCGCTGGTATAGCCAACGAAATAAATCATTGAAATGCATCATGCAAGAAATGATTGAGGTTACTACGCAGATCTTTTGTTTGATGAATGCACTTGTAATTGAAATATCTTATTCTAGAAAAGAAATCATTGTTTTAAACATGTTAGCAACACTCGATGATAAGATTAACCCATAAATATTCAAATGATAATGATTTAAACTTACCTTTCTCTCTATCCTTTTCTTTTCTCTCGTTTTCTTCTTTACTTCTCTCTCTTCTTCCTCCTTCTTTACTTCTGTCTTTTTCCTTGACGAAAGAAAGATAAAATAAGAAGAAGAGAGGAAAAATGAAAGAGAATTTTCTCCTTTTCTTTCTCTCCTTCCCTCTGATACGTCTGTCACTCCAGTTTACAAGTGATCTTTTTAGTGTAATAATATTCAAATGCGTGCACTATATATATATATATATAGATACTCCTCGGAATAACATATATACTCATATGTAGAATTTAGTATAACGCCGCCACTTCTCGTGCTCTCTTTGCGCAGTCTTCTAAAAAGTCTTTTCTTTTGAGCGTTTCAAATCATATGGTCATTCCAATAAACTCAAGCTTAAATAAAAAATGACTTAAACTTCAAAAAATATCATCCGATACTAAAAGCTATCAGCAAAAAACACTTGTACTTGAGGGTAAGGATGTGAGTGAGTCTAAAATAATATCTATACACTCAAGATGAAATTCGTCTCGTCCTAGGTCGTTTAAAAAAATAATACGATTCACTGTAAAGTAGCAATTGAACCTGATAAATAAAATCGAGTTCTAATATCAAGAATTATTATGACACCATCCAATTCATTTTTTGTCCTTGAAGTTCAGTCACGAACACAATATATTAATTTTTAAAGAGTTTGTTTTCTAATGTCTGTCAAAGTAAAAGTCATGAAAGAAGGAAAAAAAGTAATAAAAGGCATAATAAAACTAAAAATATTGTTTGTAAAGAAATTTTACAAAAATATTTTGTTCACAAATAAAACGAAAACTGAGCAAAAAAAGAGTTTATAGAACAAAGATAAGTATCTTAAAAGCATCTCTGATAGTATCTAATTGTAAAATAGTCAAATTCATTGTTCTTCATCGATACTGTTGCTACAGAAACACTCTATACGCGGCTCAGTATTGACGTCAAACATTATTGTGCCTACTCAATCATTTTTCTTCTTTAATTTCAAATCTCATAAAAGCATGCTTTTTCCATTGCTTATTAATCTTAGAGCAGTATGATTGATCTACGTGCTTATTGTAGAGTAAATCACGCAAAAAAATCATTTCTTATCATTCAAAACGATTTGTTTTCGACAGAAGCGAAATTTTTAGCATGGAATATAAAATATAAAAATATTCAGCCCAAACCATCTTGAGAGTGTGAGTGCCCAGATCCACCAATCCCATACTCGGATCCGATCGGATCCTATGCCGGATTCTGTCGGAGTTGAACGAACCGAAAAAATCCTATAGGATTCCGTCGTGTTTGGATTCCATCGGCTTTCATAGTTTCTAACAGACGAATCTAGACAGATCCGATAGGTGACCATACGGCCATAATACAATATAGCTAAAAACACCACCCATCAAATTTGCAGCAAATGATTGGACATTTTCCGACGGAGTGCAATGCAGATCCGTTACCAGGAATTCTATCGGAT